CCTTTGGGGAATTTGAAGGAAAGGCATTATATATTGTTATGTTTAAACACATCCTGTTTGCGCGAGTTAGGTATTCGACCTACCATATACATCCCAAGCGGTGGATCTAATGTTTGTCTTGTTAGTTAGAATTGTTGCTAAGTTCTTAAACTATNTGGGTAGACGTTTCAACCCACTGACATTTGGCACTTGAAACTTCTCGTAAAGTAAATTTACTTGATGATGTACAAAGAAATTGCCAATGCGGCCATGTCTACTACCTCACTCCTTATTCTTTCCTCTTTCTCTTCGTGTCACAGATTGAAAGTGCCAATGAAGTTGTTTCTGTGTATCCCCTCAATGGTGAGTTTGCAAAACCACTATGGGTTTTTGGTACAAACTCCTATGAAATAATCGAGTGCTCTGAAGAAAAGAACATAGTTGCATGTAGCTATAGGTAATACTGAGCAGACCAATATTCAAATACTTTGAACCATTCTCTGATATTCCCTTCATATTTACTGGAAAAGTTTGTGTTTTTGTTTTGATAACAATTTATTGTTCCTGAATGCAGGCAGAAAGGGAGGTCATATCTTGGCGTTTTGGATGATTCACAGGGTTCATTTTCTCTGCTCGATATTCCTTTGACTGACTTTGATAGCATTGTAATATAGCTTTTTTGTTGTTTTGTCTTCCTTGCATTTGATTCCCAATTGAATCCGAAAGTTAATGAAGATTCTGCTTCCGTTTTCAGACACTGGGAAACCAATGCCTTTATGTTGAAGGAGCATCAGCAATTCATCCACCATCAGTTGCTAAGGTGAAAAAATGATTCCCATTTTAGCTTTTAAAAAGAGATCAGTTTTGTCTAATGATAAGTTGTAGCAGTAGATTTATAGTTTCCCCTATTAACAGGTAACACTGGATCAGCATAAGATGAAAGTAATCAGTTCTGAGATTGTTTGGTCTTCTTCACCTGATGTTTTGAAGTACGAGGCTTTCTTCAGCGTGCCAGAGTTGATTGAATTTCCAACAGAGGTTCCCAGTCAGAACGCTTATGCTTACTTTTATCCTCCAACCAATCCACTCTACCACGATAGCATGGAAGAGAAACCTCCGTTGCTAGTTAAGAGCCACGGTATGCTAAAATTACTTGTTCTCGATTTTTGTAACCTTAACCACAATGCTTCTGCAGTTTCAAACTTCATCGTAAGATCATGTTTTCGTTTCAAGTATGTGCTTTAGCCACAAGGTAGATATTGCAATCAGCTATGCATGCCACGTAAATCATTTTTGTCGACATTCTGAATCTGCAGGAGGACCTACTGCTGAATCACGTGGATCCTTAAATCTGAATATCCAGTACTGGACGAGCCGAGGGTGGGCATTTGTTGATGTCAATTATGGTGGAAGCACAGGTTTGTTGTTATGGCCCTAAGCATAACTTCATCCTTTTCTGATGTCTCACTCTCACCATGTCGCCACATATGCTTGGGTGTAGCATGACAAAGTAAACACTATTTTGAAGGTTATGGTCGAGAGTATCGGGAGCGATTGTTACGACGGTGGGGGATTGTGGACGTTGATGACTGTTGTGGTTGTGCTAAATATTTGGTATGTTCTTTCTCTGCCTCTTTTACGTGAAAAAAATTTGGAAGCAACCCCAAAACATTTTGTATTTGTTTGAGCAGGTGTCTTCTGGAAAGGCAGATGTTAAACGGCTCTGTATATCTGGAGGTTCTGCAGGAGGTTACACAACTCTTGCATCATTGGCGTTCAGAGATGTATTCAAGGCTGGAGCATCCTTATACGGAGTGAGTACAAAACTATTTTTCTTTTTTTTGTTGCAGTGTTCCCAGGTTTCGTTGTTTATTTCAATAAGTTCTTGAAAACTCTTGACATATAGAAGTGACAGTAATGAAATCAGAATATGTTGAACTTCATGAACTTTAGAGATACCAAAAAGCCTTTGATCATAACTAAGTTCAGTGCAATTTGTAATGCTATGGAAAATCTTGCAAATAATGAAAAAATTGACATATCCGAATGGTGGGATTAGATTGTTGGTTTGAGGCTTATTTTCTGAAATATAACAGTTTGTAGATTGTCTTGAGGTCTTTAGCTTCCTCTTTTACCAACTATTTATATATTGTGACAGGGTTTCGCACTTAAAACCAAATTAGCTCTTCAAATACATGTTGCGTAGAAGACCATATAAACAACTGATAATTCATATATTAGTTTGAAACTTTGGATTTTCTTATTGCAGGTGGCAGACTTAAAAATGTTGAAAGAAGAAGGTCACAAGTTTGAGTCCCGCTATATCGACAATCTTGTTGGTGAGTCAAATGCTTTGAAGAGAGCAATTTATATTTGCTTTAGTTATGTCGATCAGTTGCCAAAATTATATTGTACACAATTGCAGGAGATGAAAAGGATTTCTATGAGAGATCACCAATCAACTTTGTGGATAGGTTCTCTTGCCCCATTATCCTATTCCAAGGACTGGAAGACAAGGTTCCCAACTCTTTCTTTTTCTTTTCGAACTTTTTACATTTTCAAAGAAAGTATCGACTATGCATTTTCAGTTTAGCATTTCTTAATTCCTCTAGAGGCTTAATTAGATTCATCATTTTCTGGATCTTGACATTTTCTAATTACATCATTTCCCTCATCTTAATGTTTTGTAGTAATTGCTGGTATAAGATGCTGAACATATTGCAGGTTGTAACGCCAGATCAATCGCGTAAAATCTATCAAGCATTAAAGGAAAAGGGTCTGCCTGTTGCTCTTGTCGAGTACGAAGGAGAGCAGCACGGTTTTCGCAAGGTAAGGGGCTTGAATCACTTGCATTAACAATAACAAGTCTTTAGGATCGTAGTAGAAATTAGTAATGTATACGTATAATTGGGTTAACAGGCGGAGAACATCAAATACACACTGGAGCAACAGATGGTGTTCTTTGCCCGAGTGATCGGAGGGTTCAAAGTTGCAGATGACATCACTCCTCGCAAAATTGACAACTTCGACACGTCCAATGATGCTCAGATAGAGATGTAGTTGCAGGAAGTTTTTTTTGTTTTTTTTATCTGCTTGGATATCTAGGATCATCTTGTAAAACTCTCCGTTGTGGACAAATACCTTTTCTAAGTTGTATCTTAAGAGGATTTCAAAACCGATTCATGGCTCGAACGTGGAATGGCAGTTTATGAGTATGCAGAGCGACATGGTGGCAGAGCGAAATGCTTCTTACTGATCTTCAAAATGTTGCAATAAATTAACCATACAATGAAATGCTTCTGGTTGATTCTCAAAATGTGTCCATTTGTTCTTTCTGCTTTATTAAAAAAAAAAAAATAGAACTTAGAAATTGATGACGTGGCGGGTGGGAATAACTCTTAATAAAATGCAAATGAGGCAAAGAAATTTGGAGAAAAAGCATTTAGAATGTCCATGGAGGTCAGCGTTCTCCGACCTCTCCCCGGCCGGAGTTTCGTTATCGCCGGAAAAACTACTCTTTCGCTTCTTCGTCCGACGAATCTCCCTCTCCTTCGTCTCTCACTTCCCAAGTTCTCTTCTCCGACTTCTCGTCTCCGTTCGCCCAGTCAGTTCTTCTCTTTCTCGCTACCTCAATTTCAATACTTCTCTCTTCGTCATCTTTAGAATTTGCCATTTTGGTTAACGATTTTCTTGTTTGTTCAGTAGTATTTGCTGCACTGGAGGGTGTGTCGAATGAAAGTGATACGACTGAGTGGGTGATGCAAGGTACCTTCTTCTAAATTCCCAATAATTTTGGTTGAAATTGTTCAACTGAAGAGTTCAGATAGTTCAACCACTGCTTACTTAGGTTTTGATTTCTTGTGATTTTGTGTTTTTCCCCCATTGGTGATAGGTTTTTATACATTGAGAAAGGATGTTGAATTAGCATCAGCTCGTGTTGAAGAGATTAGAGCTTCTGCTGGATTGCAACAACTCTTTTTGGGACGATCGTGCTAAAGCTCAAGAAACGCTTTCCGCCTTGAATGATCTCAAAGATCGGTTGCGGTTGCTTTCTGAGTTTAAATCCATGGTAATGCTTTCAATCTTACCTTTGTTCTCTTATTGTTATGTATGATGTTGAATTGCGTTTGTTTTTGGCTCTCTCTATAATTTAAATTTAATCTTTGCTTTAGTTACTGTTTTGAGATCATGTGTTACTTATCAAGGAAATTAGAGGAGATTGCCGAGGCGAAACTGTTGGTGATTGCGGAGGAGCAACGTGCGACTGAGATCAAGGAAATTAGAGNANATGTAGTGAAAGCNNAATGGGGACAGCAGATCAGGAACTACGTGTTTCATCCGTACAAACTGGTTAAGGATGTCCGAACAAGCCATGAAACTTCTGATATCACATCTGTAATGGATGGTGACTTGGACCCTTTCGTCAAAGCTTACCTCAAGCATAAGTACACTTTAGCCATGGCTTCTGCTGTAGCCAATTAGAAATGTTGATAGGCTTCTTCCTTTTATTTCTCTCAATTAGATAGAATCACCTCCTCCTCTTAAAAATGATCTTAAAAAGATTACAAAACTACCAAAAAAATTAATATTTAGTTGTTTGATTGATTCATTTAGTTTTTTTTTTTTTTTTAACTTAAAAAACAAAAAAATTGCTCTATATGAAAATAATATATAAGGTGCAAAGTTAGCTACAGTATGTTCATTTGACGTATAGCAAAGTGAACAACAATTCTTTGTATTTCTACTATCTCTTCTCTATTCATTTGACGCAAGTATGATCTACTTGGGGATTAGTGGTTTGTCATCACGCAAGTCCTAGATTCGTACCGTTTCCGTTAAGGTATGCTTGTGAATTTTTGACTCAAGTATTCGGTGTGCAGATCAACAAAGTGGAATCTGGTGTTTTGTTGAAAGAGAAGCGTATTCTGCAAACTCAGAGTGTGCTCTGTGACATGCTTTTCCGGAATGCACGTATAGGTATACTCAGTCACCAAATATAGTGGACCTTGTTAAATGTGATGGAGCAGCCCTTTATTGCAGAGAGAAGCTCTGGTACCTGGGGGTTACTCCCACAGAGACACAAGTTAGAGATATAATCAAAAGTCATGGAGGAAACACTGGCTTTACCACTGACAGTCTAATGGAGTCTGGCTATCCAGGTGCAATTCTGTTCTTGGGGAATCAGTTTGTGGAATGGCTGCCGTTTATATTAGCGAAAAAGATTTCCTTTTCTGGTTCCGTACCAATGACCCGGCTGAATTGTCTGTTATTGTTATTCCTTTCTGATTTCCTTCATGCAGTTGATTTCCTTTTTTATTAGCGTAAAAGGTGGATGAATTGTCTGTTATCGTGAATGAAATGGTCCGCGACCGCTGTTCCAATATTTGCGGCTGATGCCTCTGGTGCTATAAACGGTTGGAATTCAAAAGCGTCTGAAGTAACTGGATTGGCAGTTGAGCAAGCAATGGGCAAACCTATATCAGATCTCGTTGAGGAAGATTCTGCGAAAAACATGTTAGCATTGGCTCTCAAAGGTAAGCATTTTCAAATGTAAAATGGAAGCTTATGTCCTCCTCTTTGTCGTTTCCGGCCCGCTTTTATATTTTGTTTTTCACAGATTTTCATCTGTGCCTTGTGTTCATAATACATAATAGGAAGTGAAGAACGTGGTGCTGAAATCAGGATCAGAGCATTTGGTCCTAAAAGGAAAAGCAGTCCAATTGATTTAGTCGTCAACACTTGCTGTAGCAGAGATACGATGAATAATGTTCTTGGTGTATGCTTCATTGGACAAGATGTGACAGGCCAGAAAACGCTTATTGAAAACTATAGCCGCGTGAAGGAGATTATGCCAGAATCATGTGGAACCCTTCCACACTCATTCTACCTATTTTTATGACCAATGAGAATGGCGTATGCTCAGAGTGGAATGACGCACGCAGAAGCCCTCTGGGATAAAGAGGGTAGATACTGTCAAGAAAATGCTTCTTGGGGAGGTTTTTACCTCAAATGATTATGGTTGCCTCATTAAAGACCATGACACGTTAACTAGACTGAGAATAGCTTTAAATGCAGTGAGTTCTGGGCAGATTAACATAGAGAAACTTTTATTTGGCTTCCACAATTGCGATTGGTAGCTTCATCGAGGCATTGCTTTCAGCAAACAAAAGGACTGATATTGAGGGAAAGGTTACCGGGGGCCTATGTTTTTTTTTACTTTTGATGGTTATTAAATCAGTTATACCCAACTAGGCTGCAGTGAATTCAGCCTGGAGGAATCCCTGGAAACAGTGAGTGGTAAAACAAGTGAAGGAGCTGAGCAAAGAACGTAAAGTGCAAATCGTCTGCGATTATCCTCAAGAAGTTTCTTCGATGAAACTATATGGAGACTACTTAACGCTTCAGCAAGTCCTCTCAGAGACACTCTCAAACAGCCTAAGATTCACGCCTCCATTTTCGTGTGTCTCATACAAGGTAATCATGCGGATGGAAGCTATAGGGAAAAGAATGAAGAGGGTCGAGCTAGAGTTCTGGATTATACACCCGGCACCAGGCCTGCCTGAGGATCTGGTAAGGTAGATGTTTCAACTGCTGCAGAAAGGAACATCAAGGGAAGGTTTGGGACTACACATGATAGGTCCCAATTATGAGATCGACCAATGTTATCAAGGACAAACACAAAACACAAGTTTACTTCAATTTTCTATTCATATTCATTTCACCATTGTTGCTTCTTAAATATAAAAACTAAAAGATACATGAACGTTGTTGTTCACGTTACCGCTAATTTAGGAAAAGCACTAACTCCTCATCTCCCCAATACATTGAACATATAACCGACATAGGTTTTCTCCGGTTAAGCCGATTGGTTCTCATCAGTGAAACTCATGGAGAGGGGAACTTTGAAATACCTGAGAGAGTCTGAAATGTCTGCATTTGTGATCCTCACAGAGTTTCCCTTGATTTGAAGCAGCTGACCTTAACTGTCTTGAAGATATTTCCAAATAAATGAATAAAAGTGGTGTATCTGAAACTGAAAGTCTTCATTGTTTTACACATAATTATACAAAGTTAATTTGATGTCATCTTTTAATCCATGCATTATGCACGTTTCTGTTTTCCAAATCGCTCATGTAGTAGATGTGGCCCTTAGCTGATGTGGTATTTGTGGACAGCGAAGAATAATGATTTGTGTTTGCAATAACCATATCGAGACAAGGGACCACCTGTTTCTTCAGTGTGGGCTGTGGTTCTCCAAAGGGTTGGACATCCTTCTTTCAATTTTTACAATTGGTCTGCCCTTAGCTCGTGTAATTATAAACGATGGGTTTAGTCATTGTTAGAATGACACGTATCCCTCATTTTTACTATAAAAAAAACGATTACGAATAGAATTTGCGATAGTGTTTTGTTACAGTGACACATGCATATACTTATTGTAAAGGTGCAACTGAGATTCGTCCCGCTTACATAAGAACGACCCGTTTAGTAAACGATGTTGACTTTCCTCTTGATTAATATGCATTGGTACTCTACTATTGCTAACTTTCAAAAAATTCCAGACCATATACTAAATTACTAATTAACCTTAGAACTTTCACTTTGTATATTAACTAAAGGTATATGTAAAAAATACGATTAATTACAAAATTTGATTTGTACTAAACATTTTACGTTTGTAAAAATTGATCACATAATACCCAAAATAACCAAAAAGCTTCATAACTAATCTATACTTATAAATACGAAGTCGCAAATCCTACGTGGCGGCTCTACGGTGANTTTAAGACTTGGTCTTCCAANAATANCNTTAATGACTCTCAAAATTACGTCTCCATGCCATCATGATTTAATGAAGCAATATTAATGGGCCACGATTTTTTTATTTAATCTTAATGAGCCACGATTTTTTTTATTTAATATTAATTGATTTGACTAATTCGATGAGATTTAGATACATGGCCACGATTTTAGATATATATTAATATATTAAGATATCATCTTACAGAGATATCTGTAAATTATTAAATAGTATAAGTTTCGTTCATATCTATAT